TGAATAAGTAAGTAAAATAAAGTAAAATAAATCAAGTTAAATAACAACATAAACAGTAATGGAAGGGAAGAGCTGAAACTCTGACCTGTCTGCTGATGGAGCAGTAAAGAAAGAGGGGGAGGAGCCTCATCACTGTGAATACTATACAGTATATTGCATTTTGATTGGTTATCGTTTTCACTTTTCTTTACTGCTATGTGGAGTTAGTAAAGAGAGTTATATGCAAAATAGGAAGCCTCCTGTCATGTGGTAAAATTGTGATATGCACAAGTGTTATTGTACAAATTTTGTATTTGTTTAGTCAGTGTACTTTTGTGAATAAGCACTTCTTTTTTACAATAATTTTATTGTTACAAAGGTTAATTAGAATACACTTTTTAGCACAAATTCTTAAAGGCAAATGACCTCTATGTTTTGGTTAAGTTATAATGGTTTGTTTTGCTTTTAGCTATTACACTTTTAAGGTGCTGCTTATTGTAACATTTTCTATTCTTTTATTGTATAATTTTTTTTTAACACCATATACACTTGCTTGATTTGACTTTGCTCAATTGTTGCTCAGACCCCTGCCACCAATTATTGCGCTTTTGAAAAGGAAGTCTGTAAGGTGAGGAAGCAACTGGGAATACCCAGGAGTTGGGGGCGCTACCTTCTTGACTACTCGATGAACCCCTTGAAACAAGACCAGGAGCAATCACATGGAACTCTGTGCTGGATCGAAGGATGGCAGCAACCCAGTGGAACTTTAAAGTAGCTTGAGCTGGGTACCACCAATCCAGATGCTTTTTGGACAGTGGGTAACTAAAGAGTTGAGCAACCAAGGGATGGTTTGTGGGGATACTCTGTTGGGAAATGGAGTCTTGGTGCTCAGATTTCCTGGCACCCTGTCTGGAGTGGACCTAGCAAAGGGGGAGGACATCAGAAACTGTGTTCTGGTCAGCATTTATCTGTTCAGAAAACCTGGGTCTAAGGAGGGTATTGTATTGTGTTACATTGTATTGTATGGATCACTCCCTTACAGGGGCAGTCCACATCTATTCAGTATAAATACCTTTATATAACTGTTCCATCTCTGTCCTGCATGCCTCATCTCACACTCATACTCTCTGGAGCTCTGCATTTTCCCTCACCATTGCATTGTTTGTTTTCTGTACAGTAAGGGGTTGCGGGTATCCTTTACATTCAGTGTTTGCAGCCTATTGCTTTACTTATATAAGTTTATTCCCTAGTGATTATCTCATCTTTTGTGTTTGTTGTATCTCCTCTAAACCTGCCTATCAAACCCCTTTGTATTGTCACGCAGTAGTGGCAGTGAACACTATGAAGTTATTTTTAAGCACTACTTGAAAGTAATTTAGATACTTTGATATGTATTATTATCATTGTTATTTGTAAAATGCCAACATAGTCCAATGGGTAGACTCAACAAACAAGTAAATGGTGACAAATTTAGGTAAGCATGAACAAAAAGTGATGCAGGGCCTGCTTAGACATAACAAATTTAGATTAAGATAAAAAAATAAAACTATAATTTTCCTTTATAGAGGGCAGTAGTGCCTTAAACCAAGTTTGATTTACTAATAAAGGAGCACCTGTTAAACGTGCCAATGTTTTTTGTTTTTTATGTAAAGTATGTACAGAACGTTCTGAGCTTTGATGCATTCCAAAAAGCCCTAGGCTGATTATCATTCTGAGGCCAGTCTGCATTCTTCACTTAAAGGACCACTATAGGCACCCAGACCACTTCATCTCAATGAAGTAGTCTGGGTGCCAGGTCCATCTAGTGTTAACCCTGCAGTTGTAAACATAGCAGTTTCAGAGAAATTGCTATGCTTACACTAGGGTTAACCCAGCCTCTAGTGGTTGTGAAAATCACAGTGAGAAGACTCTGGACGTCCATAGGAAAGCATTGAAAAATGCTTTCCTATGGACTGTCTGAATGCACGCGCTGATGTCGGGAGGAGGAGGAGAGTTCCCCAGTGCTGAGGGAGCCCAGCGCTGGAGAAAGGTAAGTTTTTAACCCCTTCAGCCCCTTTGAGGCCAGCGGGAGTTGGACCCTGTGGCGCTAGGCAGCTACCTAAAGTCAACTCTTTAAAACGCTTGCAGACTCCTGACGTTTACCTAAAAATCTCTGCTCCATAAAAATTCAAACAATCCATGCAACACCATCAATAAAGTGAAGAAGATTTATTTTACCAAAAGTGGACCTGGACAGTTCCGACACAATGCCTTTGTCATGCCTTTCTAATGATTACCTTGGCCTCGAACTAAAATGTTGGATAAGCTTTATTGATTTGATTTAATATTTTTGGATGAACTTTTTATTGATTTATCTACTAAAATGCCCATATATTTTAATAGTGACTAGTCTAGATAAATAATTTCCATTAATTTTAGAGATCAAGATGGTGTTGGGGAGGTGGTGGTGTAACCTTTTTTTTTTTTTCCAGGTTTTTACTTAAAATTGGGGGGGAAGGTACCTAAAACGAATCTGTAACTGGGGCACTATAGCATAGGAATACACTTTTGCATGCATTCTTAACGCAATAGTGTTCCTTAAAATGAACTTTTAAACAGCAACATCTTTAATGTGATTTAAATGGCTATTCTAACCATAATGACCTCAGTGATTTGAAGTGGTCATGGTGGTAGGAGTCTGGATGTGCAGTGCTAATGCTTAAATTGCTGCACATTCAGAGATATTTGTCCTTGTGTGCCTGGTGCTAGTTACACCCCTGGCACACATGTCTGGATGTCTAATGTCAATTATATGAATATTCTATGAATTTTGTCAGTGTGCAAAGCCTGCTAGGGGAAGATTGCTTTCACCTCCCTTCCACTGTGTAGTCCCGCCACCCTCCATTACTTGTATTTAGTTTTTTTTAATTAGAATTACCTCCCTCCCAAGATCCATCCTTTCCCGTTCTCTAGGAGAAGCCTGTGATTGTACCTCACAACGCCCCCTGCTGACATCACATAGAGGGAAGAGATCAGCGCTGGGAGCTTCATCTGGTGCTAAATTACAAGTAAATTCTAACTTTATATTTTTAAATTAAAGGGATGCAGGAACTAATAGCAATACCCAATAGGAGTCAAGGAGTATTGTTCTTCAAGGAGAGTGGCAGAAGGAAGAAAGACGGGACTATTAGGAATTAGAGAAGATACAAAAATTACCCTAAGTGTAAAATAAAATGCTTACAATATGTTTCTGTCACCTTCCCAGGGTGGTTATGAAAAAAGAAATGGGCAAAGAAGCGTGTGCTTCATATTGGCCCCAATCCACAGGGTCCTGCATTTTATTTTCAGATAGAATCACCTTAAAGAGCGAACTTATGATTTTCACTGGTAAAATATGTACGACTTTAGTTATGAAAGGAGTATATTTTTCTAAAATTTACATTTTTAAAATCAGTTTCTTTGTCAGTTTAATATACGTTTGTTCTTTAAAATATATTTGACCAGGTTCAAAATTCAGCTGCATATTCTATTATGTTGTCTAAACTAAAAACTGTGCTTTTTGCCTGCAATAATCAGTGAAGATCATTCCACAGGGAATGCTTTGCAGACATGAATGTGGGGGGATTCTAGATAGTAAGACCGCAAATAACCTGGTAAATAAACTATTTCCTAGTATAAATCTTTATGGTGTTGATGCGGTGTGTGTGCAAAAAGCTACGTTAGCAAAATCATATAATAAGTGTGATAGTAATAAAAAGGTTCGTGTGATGTTACCATGAACAATTCCAAAATTGGCAGCACATTATATGTATGCTGGTGAGAAAAAATGGAGACACAATGGCGGATGCAAAATGTAAGAGAAAGCAGGGGTGAAAGAATAAAAGTTATAAAAGATTAGACGTATAAAAAGAGAATTGCAATAGACAGGCTCCATTAATGAATTTGAAGATCTACCTTACTCTGTTACTTTCTTCTAAAGTGTGTATAAAACATTTTTTAGCAGGTTTGATATAATGTTATTTACTGTTTGGAATGATTAAACTAGAGTCACTTTTGATTTTAAACAGTACTTGTGAAACAATTTTATACTTTTTGCAATATGCCTGCTCTTGAATATTGTTTGGCAGATTTTATTCAAAATTATCACATATTTTAATGCAATTTTTTTCTTGCCCATCTGTCACTGAATGAGTTAAATGCAATTAATTAGGTCTTTCAGATAGACATGGTATAATTAATCTTTAAAGGGGGAGGTTTGGTCACTATGTAATAGTGGTGAATTCATGATGACATGCTTCCTTGGGAACAAAAGACTCATTGCAAGCAGTATGCTATCCTTTTCTCTTATGAAGACAGCACCACCATATGTATTTTACCAATGTACACAAAGCATCGCCATTTATTAATTTAAAACAATGTTTAAATAAATGTACAATGTTGCTTGCTTTAGGGTTATGTTTGTCCCCATGAGAGATTTGCCCTCTTTGCTGGCACTCAGATGGCAATGCATTTTGTACAATGTCCCTTGCATGTTGTAGTCACTAATATAAAGATTTTGATTGGTTTATTTTGCTCGGTGAAAAGACATATGGAAGACAGTGCTACAGCCGGTCTTCCTGGTGTAAAAGAGCTTAAGTAGAAGTACTAAAAAATATACTCTAACATGCCATTTGGTATGACACTACATACCATATTAAAATAAAAGATAAAATAACTATATTTTGCATAATTAATTTGAACACATTCTACAAAGCACAATAAATTATATTTTTTTCTAATGCAGCAAAATAAAAAAATGTTTTCTCTATCAGGCCTACTCTGCATTGCAAAATCCCAATGCATTTTTTATCACCTTCCTAAGTTTGGTATAATTTTAGAGAACAAAATCTTCAAGCCTTCACTTATTAAAGCACCAAGATGTGTTGTAGCGTAATATAGTTGTTAAAACAACAAAAAAATAAGAACTAAAATAGTATTTAATTATTTTTATTTTATTTTGACGTCCTCCTTTTCACTTACTCTATAAATAAACAAAGCATTGGCTACGACATAAAAAAGTTATATAAAAACAATGTAAAACTTTTAGGTGAAGAACTTGAAAAAAAGTTTACACATTAACAGTGACATGAAATCTGAATTAACAAAATTGAGGCAAAAATAACTGATTTTGTAACCTGGATTAAGACAAAATTTAGCAATTCAGATTTCAATTCACTGCACATTGGAATATAGTGTTTTTTCCTAATAAATCAATCTCCAAACTGCAGTGAATTATAATACAAATGGAAAAAGGTAGCATGTGACATAGATGATCTGATGACATTTTCCAAACCACTATTGTTGCTTAGATTTTACAATTTGAATTTCAGTTTGCTACAATTCATTTTTCCAAATCTAAACAGTGTTATTTATTATTCTTATCATTATTGGCATGTATATAGCGCCCAAAAATTCCATAGCACTTTTAAATGTTATAAGAAGGGGAGATGTAACAAAAAAATGAGACAATTACAAAAACTTACAGGAACAATAGGTTGAAGAGGATCCAGCTCAAACGAGTTTACAGTCTAGAGGTTATTATTGCTATTTATATAGCGCCAACTTATTCCGCAGCGCTTTACAATATTATAAAAAGGGAAGATTTAACAATAAATTAGACAATTGCAAAATGTCACAGGAACAATAGGTTGATGAGGACCCTGCTCAAATGAGCTTACAGTCTACAGGGTTTTCCCTAAACACAGAATTGTAACAAATTAATACAAATGACAAAACTGAAACTAAATATGATTTTGGGGGGAAAAAAATCTCCAACTAAGCTATAGTCTGTTACTTTAGCCTTATTTTTTCCATTTGCTTTAGCTAGTTCAAATGCAATGTTTAGTGAAAATCGCTGAAAGAGCTCACAACTGCTTCTAAACCCCCTCCCAGCAATTTTTTTTTTTTACTTTAAAATAATCTGGGTCATCAGACTTGAAAAAACTGCTTCTTTTACTCTGATACTCCCATTCCTTCCACATGTCAATCTCTTACTATATATTGTGCCCCATTCTAATGTGTGCTGTAGCTTGTAATTTGCTCCCTTTCAATGTTTTGAAATTCCCTGCATTCTAAAACCCAGTGAGAAGCAGAAAGAGAGACCGGCGAAGCTTCCCCTCTGTAACATTTCTCCTCTCCTTGCAGTCTGCAACCACTCCCCCCTCTGTTGTTTCAGCAGAAAGGGAGGGGTTGGAGGACAGAGAACAAGCAGGGGAACTGAAGCTTCTTCCAAATCACATGTCCCCAGCAGTAGCTGATTGCTGGCTGATTGTTGCTTGAGGAGGACGGGGGAGATTTGTTCTCTTGCAGAAACACCAGGGCACTGTATGCTAATAACTAACCTACTCTGTATTCAAGTTTCCACTCATTTAGAACACCCCCTCTGCCTCCCAATCCAAAGATTCCAAAGGAAAAGATTCCATTCCATGTTTTCCATGTGATCTGGAGTAATCAGAAAGAAGTGGATAATGGTTGCTAGAGTCTCTCTCAATCCATGCTGGGCCACATAGATTCAGCCAGACGTGTATGTACCTATATCCGGGTTAGAGAGGAAAAGACACTGAAGCTGAGCAAAGTTTCATTTTAAACCTTATCAACAGCAATAAAGCAAGCAAACTTCAGCATGCCGTCACACAACAGGAACATATACACACCACGACAATCACTGGAGCTTTTTGTGTGTTTTTATTGATTTTTTTTTCTTTCAACATTCACCTGGAGTGAACAAGGGGTTGAATTTACTTGTTTTGCTGAAAGTCTCATTGTTGCTTGCTTGTCTAAATTTTGTTTTCTTCCCTTGGAATTTGCTTCTTATCTTGTGCTGTGATTTTTCTTCAAGGAAAAAGGTTATTAAATATTTTTTTTTGAGAATTCTGTTTGTTTTTTTTCTGTGTTGCCACTGGGATTGACTGAGATGTTGCAATGATCATGGCCGCGCAAGTGGTTTCAGCTGCAGCTCCTACCACCAAGGCTAACAATAAAGGAAAAAACCAAGGTCTCCCTGGACTCAATCAGGACGTAAACCCTGGAGGTACTGCAGCAGGTTCTGGATCTATCCCTGGATTAGGAGATGGGGTTCCTAACAACAGCATGAACAACAATAGTGTGGATCATCTCCACCACCACAATCTTCTGCACCACCATCTTCACCACCACCATCACCACCATGAAGTGAGCATGGTCAATGCAACCTCATTATCATCATCATCATCTTCTTCTTCTACAACTACTAATACCAACAATAATAATAGCAGCAGCAGTTCTTCCGACCCAGGGCCGAAGGAAGGGAGGAACTCTGCAGTGTCCCCACATTATCAGGCTATGGAGCTGGGGGGTGGTGGTGGGATCCCTAACCACAAGCTTAAGGGTGGTGGGGACTATCATGCACCCATTGCTCAACCACTTCATCACCATGCCCTCCACCACCCCCAGCAGCACCCACCCCACCATGCACCCCAGCATCTGCAACAGCACCCTCCCCACCACCCCAGCCATCCACCCCAGCAACTCCATCAGCTGCAGCCTCAGCAGCAACTAACGGGGGCAGCACAGCAGCCAGCCCCGAATAGAAACAGCCCTGGAGGAGGCAGCAGCAGCGAGGCGTCAGACATGGAGAATCACCAGCAGCAGCAACAACATGGAGGGCTAGGGGAAGAGAGCTGTAATAATAATAATAAGGCTGGTGCAGCAGGGAAGGACGTGGCTTTGGGCAATCAGTGCGACCCCCAGCCTAGGAGGGCTGGCAAGGCTGGGGACGAGGACGATGTGCAGGGCAAGATGATGGCTGGGGAGCCCATGGGTGGCCGATATGAGCATGCAATGCATGGAGCCGGGCAGCAGCACTCTGGGAATAACAGCAGCAGCAATAACAATAATATTGGAGGCAACGGGGGAACATCATCTTCATCGTCCTCCTCTTCCTCGGTGTCTGACTTTAATAGTTATTATGGCAGTGCAGCACCAGGCAGAGCAGGGCCTTGCTTTGATCAACATGGCAGACAACAAAGCCCTGGAATGGGGATGATGCACTCCGGTTCTGCGGCCCCTAGCAGCATGGACCCCATGCAGAACTCACATGATGGCTATGGAGGGGGCCAGTATGACCACTACCAGGGCTACAGCAGGGCCGCAGCTGCGGCAGGAGGGCCGGGGGGCTATGGCAGCCAGTCCTCTGGATATGGGGTACTGAGCTCACCCAGGCAGAGCAGCACGAGTGCCCCAAGCAGCAGCAACATGATGATGGGGGCAGCAGGGTCCGGCAGCCATGGAAAACCGCCCAGTACTTCCAATACAGGGGGCTTCCAGCGGTACCAGGGACAGAACCAGCACCCATCAGGGGCAACTCCTACCCTCAACCAGCTGCTGACCTCCCCCAGCCCAATGATGAGGAGCTATGGAGGGAGCTACCCCGATTACAGCCCCACTGCACCCCAGCAGCAGTCAGCAAGCACCCAGGGCAACCATCAGCCAGGAGGCATGGGTATGGGCAAAGAGATGGGCGCTCAGTATGGAGCTGCCACCACAGGCTGGGGAACACAACAAAGGACTCACCCAGCTATGAGCCCTGGGAGCACTGGACAGAGCATCAGTAGATCCCAGGTAAACACAGCTCACTCATTCTATCTTTAATAGCAGATGTCTGGGTGTTCTTCAGTCAGAATCTTGCTTATATGTGTGTGTGTTGTGTGCTTAACATAAGTCTTTAGTTTTGTTGCTGCCTGTCCCGTCTACTTTTCATTTCCTTATAAAGGATTGCAGCCATTTGAGAGCATGACTGGGGGAGGTTTTGCAGTCGTGTCGTTCTAAGCTCAGATTTTTAGGATACATATAAGTAGATATACATTTAAGAAAAGACACAGTTGTCTGATTTTGGTATACGTTTTATTTTGTTTTATTTATTTATTTTTTTTGGGGGTTGGAGGTATTGTGGGTTTAAGAAAAGGAAACTGTCCAGTCCTTTTTATTACCAGATACAATCTTACCCCCGGTTAGTTATCCATTATTGAGAAAATAAATACATGACCAATTGAAACCATCTGAAAATAGGCTAAACATGTTAAATCTTTGGTCATATTTGCTTTTACGTGCTATGTTCATCTCCTATTTATTTTTTTCCTTTTATACTACAATAAAACATATATAACGTAATAATTATATTATGTATCTTTCACTGATATAAAAACGGCTTCAAACCTTGCAATGAAGTAATCATTTTGTCAGCATGGGTATCCAACTATGGTGGAAATTTCCATTTGCTGTAGTCTGCACCCAGGAAAAAAAATGGAGGCACTCCTTCCATCCCCCCCGCCCCCCTTTTTTATACTTGACAAATAGAGTATATTTCCAGAAATCGTGTTGTGTTTTCTATCAGAGTGAGGTAAAAAAAAATTGCTTTTTTTATCATATACTTTCGTAGACTTATTTTTGTGTGGCGTATTAATGTTTTAATGGCTTTTGATTTGGTTTGATGGCTTTGGAGATTTTTTTTTTTTTTTCTGTTGGGAAGTAAACTGCTCAGGATCAATAACATACTTCTCGCTAGCAACTTGAGTCTAAAGAGTGACTTGATCTCCAATGCAAGGTTTGGAATTTGAATTGTGGAGGTAAACTGGCTGTAATAGTCTCCAGACAGCTGCCTCAGAGTTGACATCTAATCTGCCATCTGATTGGCTCCCCTCTCACCATTGGGCATTTAGCACTGCTGATGTAAATAGAATTGCAGAGCAGTAACAGTCACAAAAATTCTTTGTAACAAACACTAATATCTGAGACATCCACTTAAACAAACGTCTGCTTAGAACGTTGCCGTTGTTCCTTTATTCCTAAAATAAATCAGTTTATCATTGATATACCGTAATCAGAAAACCATAATAGATTTCTTGCATCTACATACAATAGTACCCATGGGAGACTGGATAACCCGTTCATGAGCAAGATGCAAATGTGTTCGTTTCGACTGAACATCTTTAAAATTTTTGATTCTTGTGTCCTGCTCACTATTTATTGCTTGTTTATTAAGCTGCCATGTTTTTGCAAGATAGGGTGGGGTTTTGTTTCTAGAAATAGGCCTGTACATATTTTTATGATGTTTAATTGCAATGGAATTGTTTTATTTTCTAATTCTCTATATAGGCCTAAAATCGGGCTGTTCAGTGTAGCAACTCTTTTCCTATACTCAGACAAAATATACCAGATGGGTAGAATATGATATCTATACATTTTATATA